AAAATATAATGCTATGCTCACTTAAAAATGTAGAGAATGGGCCAGGGATGTGGCTTAGTGGTGCTGTGTCTGCCTGGCAAGTGCAAGGTCCTGAGTTCTATCTCCAATACCGGGGGGGAAAAAACTCAGAGAAAAATCTAATACAATATATACAAGATTTTTATGCAGAAAGATAAAGCTGTAATGAATAAAAGAAATCCAAGATTTAAATAAGTGTAGGAATATACTATATTCATAGAATTACATATTAAACACTAGAAAAATATCAATTCTCCCCAAGTTGACAGAGATTTAATGTAAATCCTATCAATATCCCAGGAACATTTTTGTAATTTTGTAACATTATTTTAAAACTTAAATTGTTAAAACAATTTCTAAGGGATGGGATTTAGCTCAGTGGTGCCACCACCTGCCTCACAAGTGCAAAGTCCGGAGTTTGATCCCAGTACCAAAAAAAAAAATTTTTTTTTTTTCTCTCACTGAGTTTATTGGTACATTTTAGGTATACAGTACAGTTACATTCATCATTGGGATCTTGTACCTTTACATGACAGGTCTTGGTTCTCATTTTGTCCCCTTGTCCCTGCCCTCCCTTCACCCCCTTCCCCCCTCCCCATTTACAAACACTTTATTTCCATTTTTTCATTTTCTCATATTTTTTCTTTTCCCTTATTACCTTTCCCCTACCCTTCCCACTTTCCCTACACTTTCCTATTTCACATTGTTAATTATCTCATTTTTAGGATCTTATGTACTGTTATAGTTTTTCACACCAGAGAAATTATTCAGTATTTACACGTGTGACATTTATTTCACTTAGAAGTATATCCCCAATATGTATCCATTTTCCTATGAATGAATCTAATTTTTCGTTTTTTATGGCTAAGTAGTGTTCCATTTTATAGAAAAACCACATCTTCCTTATCCAGCCTCCAACTGATGGGCAAATGGGCTGTTTCCAAGTTTTAGCTATTACAAACTGTGCTGCTATAAACATAGGTGCACATATATCACTTTGATATGATGGAAGATAAGTTAGGCAGAACTCTTGAAGACATTGGCATAGGAAAAGACTTTATGAAAAAATCCTCAGTAACATGGGAACTAGCAGAAAGAATCAACAACTGGGATCTCATGTTATTAAAAAGCCTCTGCACTCCAAAAGAAACCATCATCAGAACTAAAAGACAAACCTACAATGTTGGAAAAAAAAAATTACCAGCTTCTCCTCAGACAAAGGACTATTATCTAGAATATATAAAGAACTCAAAATAATTAGCCCCTCCCAAATATAAAGACCCGATTCAAAAATGGACATCTTGAAATGAACAGACATTTCTCAGACAAAGAAGTAAAAGCAGCAAGTAAATATATGAAAAAACGTTCCACATCACTGGTCATTCAACAGATGAAAATGAAAACAACACTGAGATTCCACCTCACCCCACAAAGAATGGCTGCTATCAAGAAATCAACCAATAACAAATGTTGGCGGGGTTGTGGGGAGAAAGGAACCCTTCTCCATTGTTGGTGGGAGTGCAGACTTGTGCTACCACTATGGAAATCAATAAGGAGATACCTCAAAGAGCTCAGACTAGAGGTTCCATTCGACCCAGCCATCCCTCTGCTGGGTATCTTCCCAAAAGAATTTTTAAAAATTTTTTTAAAAAGTAGGAAAAAACATTGTATGAAATTCTAAAATTTATTAAATATCTGCATTAATCAAATCTTGTAATATTGATGGCATAATGAGCATAAAGACTAATGGAACATAATAGAGAAACTAGAAAAAGACCAACAGATGTACAGCCAAAATATTTTGAACAAAAATGCAAAAGTATTGCAATGGAGAAAGAATAGTAATTTCAACAATTTGGAAATTTGCAAGTTATTTTCAAAATGAACCCCAAAATAAACCTCATAATGCATATAAAAATTAATGCAAAATGAATCTTAGATTAAAACATAAAATTTAATACTCCAAAAATTTTAAGAAAAAAAAACAAAATCTTTAGGAAATGGAATACAGGAAGAGTTCTCAGACCTAACCCCAAACACACGGTTTACGAAAGAAAAACAAATCAAGACTTCATCAAAAGTGAAAACTTTTGCTTTTTTTTTTTTTTCTTTTTTTTGAGACAGGGTCTCATTATGTAGAGTTGAGACTGACCTGAAACTCGCTATATAGCCCAGGATGGTCTCAAATTCATGGCAATCCTCCTGCCTCAGCCTCCCAAGTGCTAGGATTACAGGCGTGCACCACCATGCCAGGCTAAAACTTTTGCTTTGTAAGAGACTGTTAGGGGGATAAGAAGATAGCTGGCAGACAATATCTGCAAACTTTGTATCTAATAAAGGCATCTTGTTTAGAATATAAAGAACTCTCAAAGCAAAATAATAAAAAATTCTAACAGCTGGGCACTGTGGCACACACCTGTGACCCCAGCACTGGGGTGGCTGAGGCAGGTGGATTCCCAAGAGTTTGAGGCCAGCCTGGGCTACATAGTGAGTTCAAATCCAGCCTGATCTACATAGAGAGACCTATTAATTAATAATAATAATCATAATAATAATAATAATAATAATAAAACAATCCAGTCAGAAATGAGACACTTCACTAAAGAGGAACACATGTATGACAAGCACATGAAAACATGTTCAGCATTATTAGCCAGTAGAGAAACAAAAATTAAGAACATATGAGATATCACTACATATCTATTACAATTGCCAAAATTAAATATAGTGACAATATTATATTGGTGAGAATACATAAAAACAGGATCTCTCATACACTGCTGGTTGCAGTTTGGCAGTTTGTTTAAAAATGAAAGATATAATACCACAAAACAATCACACTCTTGAGTATTTATTCAAGAGAAACAAAAGTTTATGTCCACACAAAAATTTGTACCTGGTTGTTCATAGCAACTTTATTTGTGATAGCCAAACGCTGTAAACAATTCACGTGTCCTATAATAGGTGAATGTTTAGACAAACTGTGACACATCTGTACAGTGGAATGCTGCTCACCAGTGACCATCAAGATCCATACGTTGAGTGAAAATAAAACCGGTGTCAAAAAGTCACAAACTTTATTATTCCACTTATGGTAAATTCTTAAAATAATAAAACTATAAAAATGAGGAAAAGATTAGTGGCCAGAGGTTAATGATGACAGGGGGAGTAGGAGCTGGTAGAGAAAATCAGATAGGGGGAAACTCAGGCAGAGATTTCTTGATGAAGTGATTATTAGTCAAACCTATGCATAAGATAAAATAGAACTACATGCACACTTACTTTGATTTCCAGGTTTTGACTGAGTACTTCATTTACATAAAATGCAACACCATTGTGGGAAATTAGATGAAAGGTATATGGGCCCTCTCTGTGCTTTCTTCCCCTCTGTACTCTCTTCCCTTCTCTGTACAATTATTTCAAAACAAAAAGTTTATCAGTAGTGTTTTTTTATATGCCAGCAACAAATATTTTGAAAATGTAGTCTTTAAAAGAAACACACAAAAATATTTTAAAACAAGGTTAAATATGACAAAAGTAAAAAAATTTTATGAGAAAAAAATCTAAAACTTTATTAAAGACTTTTAAAATAATCAAAATAAATAATCATCTAAATACAAAAAGATATTTATGTATTTACTTATTTATAGATTCAATGAAATTTCAACTGAAACCCAACAAGTTTTTTGTGGTAATTGATACACTGTAAAATATATATGAAGAGTAAAAAGCAAAGAATGGCCAAGATAGTCCTGAAGACTGTATCAGGACTTACATAACAAATACCAGTAATTACTGTACAACTACAGAAATTAAAATCACGTGATACTAATGCAGAAACAAACAAATTGATTAAAACAGGACAAAAGCTAGTCCAAACCAGTACATGAGCAGAAACTTCTGTTGTCTGAGCTAGCTTTGCATATTAGTGGAGACAAGATATGTTATTTAGTAAACAGTGCTACAACATTGGCTATAAATTTGGGGGGGGGGAAATGAGATTCTTAGTACACCCTGTACACAACAGTATTAAACACAAATGCAAAAGGCAAAACTGTTAAAGACAAAATATGAACTTATAGAGGCAATGAAGGATTTCTTAAAATACCAAAGCTAAAACACAAAAGACTGGTGATTTCTAATAAGGCATAGTGTCACATGCTTGTAATCTTAGCATTGGGGGAGACTGAGGCAGGAGGAAAGAACGTTAGCAACTTAGTGAGACGTGGTCTTAAATTTAAAATTAAAAGAGGGTTAAGGTTATAGCAAAGGCCCAAGGTCCAACCCCCTGTACTGGGAAACATGCACACACATGTGCACATGCATGCACACATGCAGTTTCTGCTGAATTAAAATCTCAAAATTATATTCTGTAAACAGACTTTATAAATGGAATGAAAAGAAAAGCAAATATCTGGGAGAAGATATTGCCCCAGTTACAACTAAGGATTACTGTCTAGAACATACACATGAAGAACTACATTAAGTAATGAAACATACAAACAATTCCAATATGAAAATGGGGGAAAGGCTACACAACACTTCACAGAGAGAAATAAAAAACTGCTCCTATGAAAATACACCCTATACATAGTAACAACCACGAAGATAAACCACCTGCACCACACTCACCATACCTACCAGACTGGCAGCGATTTTAACATCTGGCAGTGTCAGCACTTGGAAGGGATGAAGAACATCCTGGAGTTGTACATGCTTCTGGAAAAGAGTTAACGCCATCAGTTTGGAATCCAACTCGGCAGAAAATAGGAGACATGCTGGGGATTTAGCTCAGTGGTTCTGGAGCCTGCCTCGCAAGCACAAGTACCCAAGTTCGATACCTAGTACCAAAAAGAAAAGAAAATAGGAGATGTAAGTGTGTGTACTCTATGACTCTACTGCTCACTAAGAAAGTACCTTCCAAAGATGTTGAAGATACAGCAGAATGTTCTTGTGACTTTCTTTGTAATAGCAGAAAACTGGACATAAATCAGATGCCCACCCTCAAAAGAATTGTGTATTCCTTCAACTGAAATGTATATGACAGTGAAAAATGAACAAATGATAATTACATAGAATAACATGGATAATCTTGGGTACACACAAACAATAGAACTGGGAAGTCACAGAAGAATGTGCAAAGTATGATTCCATTTATTTTAAGTTCAAAAGTAAGAAAAACACAAACTAAATATTCTTTCATGACAAAATATGTACATGGTACAACTGTTAAAAAATCAAAGAAAACATAAACACAGATTCAGGAGTTAGAAGGAATGGCTCAGGAAGGAATCTGCAAACACGTAGAGGATGGGAGTCCCTTGCCTGGACAGGAATGAGTTTATTGAACTTTTCACATGTAATTTTGTGTATATTACACATAGTTTGCAAACAACAAAAAGAAAAAAGAAACCATAAGTCTCTTGGGAACCTCTTTGTCCTCACTAAAAAGGATGGAGGAAAAGGAGACAACATCCCCAAAATGCTCCATCTGATGGCATTTCTGTCATCGAATAGCTGCTTCACACTGTCCCTCCCCATGAACACACACACACACACACACACACACACACACACACTGCATCATTTTCTGAATTGGGGGAGTAGATCAGTGGAGCTTACAGGCTGCTCATTGCCAGCAGAGGCAAGCAGGTGGGAGCAGGAAGGAGGAGTGGGATGGGTGCCTTGGCCATCACCCTGCACCATGGTCTGCAGCTACGAGCTCCCCTCCACTTGCCCATGTGTGCACAGCTGGGATAAAAGGGTCCCAGCAGAGTGCTTGTGTCTGTGAGTCACCCAGTTCCTCCTCTGTGTGAACTCCACCGAAAGAGAGGAGGAGAGAGGAGGTAAAGAGCGAGGAGGGAGTCCCAAATTCCAATTCCCTGCATATTCCTCCTCGCCTCCCAAACCGTTTTCTCTTATGCTAGATTCTAGCTCAGAGAAAGATACCCTCCTGGTCAGTGCTTCACTGTGATTCCATTTCATTTGTTTCAAGTGACAGTACATGAGGAGGAGAAAAGGGTACGCTACTGAGAGGGGGCTGGAAATGACAAGGCCCAGTGGTAGTGAAGAGATTCTAAGTTAGTTCATAGTCACAACACAGCCCTGTCCTGGCCATGCCATTTCGACTCAAGTCAGGAGGCTTGTTTGGGGCAGCTCCTATCCTCAGTTATTCATTGTGAACTCAGTCTCCTAAAACACTGTCCATGAACCCTCCCCACACCAGGATCTTTATACACTAAAGTCATTTGAAATCACCTGTCACTTCGGTCCTAGACACTGGCCACTCCCGCCCCAGAACCGATGAATGTCCCTGGTGCCAGGAATCTACAGGAGGGACATTCCTCCCTTATCATAGGGAAACCCACCTAAAAGGCAGGCCTCACCAGACCTCTCCTTATCTCCTCTGTGAGGGAATAAGAATTACGGTGTCTTCTGAAGCAATGTTTTCCGGTGGAATCAAGGGAAACTGTCCATTTGCCCTCTGACCTTTTAGAAAATTGTAGCTGGGCTCCTTTCTTGTCTAGTGAAAAATTCCAGCACAGCACTTCTAAAAGACAGATTGTAAAATACTCTTTTAAGTCTTGTTCAGATCTTCAAAGCTTCCTAGTCAAAGCTGTGGGCTTGATGGAGCCCAGCTAGCTCCACCAGTGAGTACTATCGGGCTTTGGGACCGTGAGACGTGGCTGCTTATTTGCAAATGTGAGCTACAGTCAGAGGGGGGGGACTGGCAGCAGACTCCAGATGCCCACATCACCTTTCCATTCCTCCTTCTGCCTCTCACATGAGAGAAAAATAATAATAATAATAATAGTGCTGGCAAAAAAGGAATGAGACAAAGTACATCTAGTTTATTTGAATCCATCAGAGAGTTAGAATTTTTCTCCTAAAACATGCATCCATAAATATTATATAGATAAGAAAGGCTTGCAACAATTGCTTCTATTTCTTCTCATAGCCTCAAAGCAGACTACACAGGATATCATGGAGGCATCAGAGAACTTGAAGCAGAAATCTTCAGTTTTCAAATATTCATTAAATTTTTAGCCATTGTTTTCATTATTTAAAAGGTCAGGAGTCAAGTTATCAGAAGAAAGTAGGCAGAGACATCTAAAGCTACAATAGAATTGCCTTCTATACATGTTGCTAATATTCTTCCAGGAATAATGCCATCCATCTACACGTAGGTGACACCACTGTGACCAATTTGTCCCAAACAGAATTTTTAAATGTGTGACATTTTAGAAAAATCTATCAATGAAAAGTATCACCCTTATTTTTTTTTAAAAAAAAAAAAAAGCAAATTTTGGTAACCAGAAATACAAAGGGGTCCATCCAAGAAGGAGCTAGTGATGAGATACAGGCAGATATGGATAAGAAAATGAAGGAAGGAAGGGAGGGGGGAGGAGGAGGAAGAGAGGGAAAGACAGAGATAGAGATAGAGAACTGAACTAAGCAGATATCTGACAGCTTATACTGCATTAGAGTTTAACTTTATGGATGATCCAAATGGGCATAATTCACCATTACTTCCTCTAAGAAACCTCTTTTTAAAGTACAATCCTAATTAGTTAAGAAAATGGAAAACGCGTTCAGAGAAATATTTGTACACACAACTGAAAGGTGGACTCTTAGGAGAGGGTTGAGGGGATGAAGGGAGGGCAGGGGTATAGGGAAAAAAATGAGAACCAAGATCTGTCATGTAAAGGTATAAGATCCCAGTGATTAATGTAACTGTAGTGTGTTCTTAAAAAGTATCAACAAAAAAAAGAAGAAAGGTGGACTCAAATGTCCTATGGATGGTCACACATGCAGGGGTGCAAGACAGAGTTGGGTGAGGGAAAGGCACCAAAGATGTGACCTGCAGCTGGGTTACCTGACTGGAAAGCAATGCAAGCACACCAAGAGAAAGACCAGTGCACAAAAGCCCCAGTGCCAATCACTGTTATGTCTAAGTACAATGCATAGCTCAAGCAGGTGAATGTTAAATTAATATAAGAGAGGGCTGAAGTGGTATTTACAGGAGGCAGTAGAACATGGTGAAGTTTATTAAATGTAAATAAAAGGCTTTGATGTACTTTGAGCTTCTGATTGAAGACAAAAATGCCATCTCAGGAGTAGATAGATAGATAGTCATATGGCCATACTTCCAAAACTGTAATATAGATTTAACACAATTCCAATCAAAATATCAATAACATCCCTTACAGAACTGGAGAAAGCAATCCTAAAATTCATGCAGAACTAAAAGAGACCTAGAATAGGAAAAACAATTCTGAGCAACAAGGGCAAAGCAGGGGGCATCACATTTCTGGACTTTGAGTTATATTACAAACTCCAGTGATAAAACCAGAATGCTATTGGAAAAAAAAAAACAGAAAGTATATCTGCTATCAAGAAACCAACCAATAACAAATGTTGGTGGGACTCTGGGTAAAAGGAACCCTTCTCCAACATTGGTGGGACTGTAGACTGATGCATCCACTGTGGAAATAAGAGTGGAGATTTCTCAAAAAGCTAGGATTAGAGGTCCCATTTGACCCAGCTATTCACCTGCTGGGTATCTTCCCAAAAGAATTAAAAGCATCATACCACAGCGATACATGCACATGCATGTTTATAGCAGCACAGTTTGTAATAGCTAAATCTTGGAAACAGCCCAACTGCCCATCAACTGGAGACCAGATAAAGAAGACATATTTTTTTCTAAAATGGAGTACTACTCAGCCATAAAGATGGAGAAAGTAGAGACATATATAGCTAAATGAATGCACATTGAGTCATACTCTTTAAGTGAAATAAATAAGACACACATGTGTAAATACCCAATAGTTTCTCTGGTGTGAGAAACTGAAAGTGTAAATGAGGACCAAAATGTAAAATTGATAATGTGAAATAGGAAGAAAAGGTCCAAAGGGGAAGGGGAAAAGAAAGTGGGAGAAGTAGGGGAAGGAAAGAAGGGAAAGGAAAAAAAGCAGAAGCAAAGTCTTTGTAAGGAGGGAGGAGGCAGGGTGGCAGGGTGGCTGGGAGGACAGAGGAATAAAGAAAAACATAAGAACCTCTATATCATGTAAAGGTACAAATTCCCAATGATGAATGTCATTATATTGTGTACCTAAAATGTACTGGTAAACTTAATGAATTTAAAAAAAAACAGACTCATGGATCAGTGAAACAGAATAGAGGATTGAGAAACTACACAAGGCACACTCAGCTATGTTATTTTTTACAAAGGGGCCAGATCCTTTTCACGAGAGAAAAGATAGCCTCTTTAACTGATGGTGCTGGGGAAACTGGCTATACACATGCAAAGATTGAACCTAGACAGTGATGGTAAACCTTTTAGAGCTTTCAGTGATACAAATAGTCCACTGCAGCACATATGCCATTGGTTCACTACCACTGACTTAGAACCATATCTTTCACCATACACTAAACTGTAATCAAAATGGATCAAAGATCTAAACATTAGAATAGAAATATTTAATCTTCTGGAAGACAAAATAGGTAAAACTCTTGAAGACAATGGTGTAGCCAAAGACTTTCTGAACAAAATCCTGCACAAGAAATAATACCAACAATCAACAAATGGGATCACACCAAATTAAAAAGCTTCTGCCCAGCAAAGGAAATCAGAAACAACCTACAGAATGGAGAAAAAAACTCAAATAAAAAACTCAAACAAATTAGACCTCCCAAATCTAAAGACCCAGTTTAAAAATGGGCATCTAAAATGAATAGACACTGCTCAGATGAAGAAATGCAAATGGCCAATAAATACATGAAAAAATGTTCCACATCTCTGGCCATTTGAGAATGCAAGCTAAAACAACACTGAGACTTCATCTCGCACCAGAAGGAATGGCTGCCATAAAGAAATCAAACCAATAACAAATGCTGGTGAGGCTGTGGGGAGAAACGAGCCCTTCCTCATTACTGGTGGAAATCTAAACTGATACAACCACTATGGAATACACTATGGGGATTCCTCAAAAAACTAAAAGTAGAAATTCCATTTGACCTAGCTATTCCCCTTCTAGGTATCTTCCCAAAAGAGGTAAAGATATCATATTACAGTGGTATATGGATACTATTTTTTGATAGTAGTGCAATTCATAGTAGCTAAATCTTGGAAACAGCCTATATGTCCATCAACAGGTGAATACATTTTTTTCTTTAAGTTTATTGGTACATTTTAGGTATATAATATGGTGACACTGATCAGTGGGAATGTGTACCTTTACATGATATATCTTGGTTCTTATTTTTTTCTCCATTCCCCTGCCCTCCCTTCCAGATGAATAGATGTTTTAATGTGGTATTTATACATAATGGAGTACTACTCTGCTTTGAAAGAGTAAACTTCAGTCATTTGTAAGAAAATGGATGCATCCTGAGACCATTAATGTTGGGTGAAATTACTCAGACTCACAAGCTTAAGTATCACATGGTTTCTCTTATATGACAGATAATAGAGAAAAAAACAAAAAAATGTAATTTAGTGTGGACAATATATCTAAAAGTATACCTTGACAGTACAATTGTCTTACATATTTTGTATGTTCTTTGGCTTATTAGTCTAGTTTTCAATCTGCATATATATAGAATAATTGATGTTATAAAATCTTATAAGAAATAAATGAATCTGATGCCGGAAAAATAAAAGGGGGATGAAGTGAAAGTGAGGGTGGAAAAAGAACGGAACTGAAATGTGTTATGTACATATACCAATCCTTTATAGTGAATGTAGTTATTATGTACTGCAAACGTGTACTAACAAAAGTAAAAAAATTAAAAATGAGTTAGTCATCTCAGGTATTACACTACAGCAATGGAAAGCTCACTGACAGACACAGTCCTGTTCCCAGTATAAGAAGATAAAATTATTTACTTGCAGAAACATACAGCTTCTCAAACCCTGCCTGTTTTTTTTCAAGGCTATCTTCAGAAACACATTAATATGCCTCCTCTGTACTTTATTAACATTCACACTGAGAGAAGTAGTAATGTCTTGCCAGAGACACTACATGGGTGACCAGTGGAAAAAGAAGGGAAGGAAAGAGTCTCTCTCCCTTCCAATCAGTTCTTGCCCTGGAGATGGAGCATGACCAGGAGGCGGGCTGTTCCTGTCTCTGTGGCCTTCGAGTGATGTCATCTCACAGCTCGTTAACTGAGCCCAGCCCACACACTTCTCCCTCAAGTCACATACACACCCTTGGCAGACCATAATCTTGTTCTCTCAATGCCTAGGCTGGGCCAGACTCTGCCACAGGCCCTTGGTTCCTGAAAAAGTTCAGAAAACAAAGAAGACACCTGCACAGAAGAAAGAAGTGGCAGTGACTCTGGTTACCCCCAGCAAACCCAGAGCTCAACAGGCAATCCTCACCTCTGCAGATGACAGCAACAGCACAAGTGTCCCCTTTGGTAGACACCTCAGCTATGTCTGCACCAACCGGCAGGAACTGGCAGAATCTGGGAATAACAGAAGCTTACACGCAATGAGCCTTGTGTGGTGGTGCAAACTTGTAATCCTAGCACTTGGTAGCCTGAGGCAGGCAGACTATTGCAAGTTTAAGCCCAGCCTGAACAACAGAGTGAATTCAAGGCCAGTCTAAACTATGCAATAAGACCCTGTCTCAAAAAGCCAAAAAAAAAAAAAAAAGAGAGAGGAAGAAAAGAAGAAGAAGGGGGAAGAGGAGGAGAAGCTCATATGCAATGATGAACAAGCCAGGCTGTGTCTGCTGACTGAGGCTGACAGGTCAGCTCCATAAGAAAGGACAAAGTTTTCACAGAATCCATCTAAAATAGTAAGTACCCTCCTCCCCTCTCCCCTGGGCCTGTGGTACTAGGGATACTGAAAATGAACAAATCACACCAGAACCACCCCCCAACTGAGCATCAGGGCAGAGCCTGGGGACAACCAGGCCAAAACCACCATAAGCACAAAACCAAGTTTAAATCCAACAACTACTGTTTAGTGAAAACAGAATGGTAAACTCTGTATATTGACTTTTGTAACAGGACATCATAGCAGAGAAAGGGTCCCCAATTTTATTACAGCTATGACATTTTCTGAAATCTCCCCTTTTGGGAACTATCATGAAGCTTTCTAGGCTTGAAAATAAGTAACTCTCAACACTAAAGTTAGCCAGTTGCATAAACAAACAAAAAAAACTCAACCTACCTTTCAGCACGTAGTTTTGTTTTAAGTTGCTCCTTAAGAGGACCCACAATAGGAAAAGTAACAAATTCCTCCAGCAGCATTAGATTCTACAGAGCAAAACTGAAAAAAAATAAACAATTATTTCTTTTGAGAAGCACCAACCAAGAGCCTTCTGTAGGCACTTACGTAATCTAAAAGTGCTGGGTGGATGCCACAAAACATGAAAGACCTGGGGTCATTCTAGAAGGACACTTCTAGTGACCAAAGGAGCCGCTGAGAAGCCCTAACTTAATCTCAGTAATTCTGCGTGGTTCTGACTGAGGAAGTAAAACAGCAACAGAATGCCCATACAAGACCTTATACTTCTCTGCAAACCTGAACTTGCTGGCCCTCTTGTGCACAGTGAGGCCAGCCCTCCCCCAAGGGCAAGTCACCAGGGCAAATTGCCCAAGCTCAATAAATCCTGTAAATAATCCAGGCAGAAGAACATCAAGGTCAGAATTGGCTGATCCAACTCCAAACAGTGGCCCAAACCTCCCAACCTCCTTTTTGGGATCAGTCTGTAAATTCAGTGACATTATGAAGGGGCCTTATAGACAGGTGTAGTGGCACACACAGGTAATCCTAGGCCTCTACAAGGCTGAGGCAGGAGTTCAAGCCTAACCCAGGCAATGCAGCAACTTAATAAGACCCTGTCTCAAAACACAAAACAATATTGTTTGCTTTAAATGTACCAATAAATTTAATGGGGGGGGGATACAAAACAAAAAAAAAAAAGGCTGCTGATGTAGCTCAGTGCAAATGTCCTGGGTTCCATCCCTAGGACTGTCAAAAAGAATGGGGTAGTGGTGAAGGCTCAGGTCTCCACAATTCCATTCACCCAGAAGCTGGAATAAAATGGCTCAATATGTAACAGTGACAGTTCCCCAAGCTACAATGTCAAATAGCAAAAGCCTCGGCATGCCACCAGGAAACCATAGACAAAAGGAGAGTGTTTTCAAAACAAATGTGCAAGGAAGTTGTTAGAATTTGTATCTAGATGTCCCCCCAAATGTCCCCCCTATGCACTCCTAGGTGGAGCTGTTGGGAGGTGATTGGGTCATAGAACCCTGATATTCCACAGTGGATTGATTCGTCCACTGATGAATTTATAGGTGCATGTGATGTTGGGAGGTTTAGCCTAGTTGGTGGAGATGGTCAGAGTGGCTGTGACCTGGAAGGACCTATATCTCTCCCTCCTCCCTTGATCCCAATCTCTCTCTCTCTCTCTCTCTCTCTCTCTCTCTCTCTCCCTCTCTCTCTCTGCTTCCTGCCTGCCATATGATGAGCAATTCTCCCCTGCCATGCCTCTCTGCTATGCTGCCCTCCCTCAGAACCTGCCAACTACTAATAGAAACCTCTAAGAACTATGAACTAAAATAAACCTTTCCTCCTTTCATTTGTGGGTGTCAGGTATTGTGTCCCAGCAACAAGAAAGTAACTAAAACAAAAGTACTTCAACAAAAAGCAGACACTCCAGGTTTAGGTAAACACCTGAGTCATCTTCAAAGCCCTCTAGCTTGGACTGAACCTGGTCTAGGAAAGGCCCAGGTCACAAGATGTCATTTCCTAGAAATTTGGGATTTATATACAAGTCAAAGCTTCTCCAATGTAACAAGTGATTGCTTCACAGTCTCAATCTAGGGTAGAGCATCATGACAAAACAGGGCTGCTCAGGGTCTTTAAATCCTTCCCAAGAGTGTCCTCAGATAAGGGGTCTAAACCCATAGACCGGGAGCTCTTACACAATGCTGTCTCTAGAACACACTTGGTCTTTGAGACTTCAATACTTTACTCTGTTACTCTTCTAACACAGCTGTGTCTCTTTTGAGACTCCTGGAACACACAATGAACATGCAGAGTGGTCATAATGGGTAAATAGATTTTTAAAAGTCAGAATATCAAATGCAAGGCTTATAGTAATCCCAGCTATAGAATGGAAAGAATATGTATGGAGCAAAAATTCTGATAAAGAAAGAGGCAACAAAGGAGTCCATAAGAGCAGAGGTCAGGACAGGGGCACATAGCTTCATTTAATGGCAGAGACCCCTCAGGAAAATATGGCCTTTGTATCCAGGATGGCATTTCAGAAAAAGGGGAAGAAAGGAGTAGTCTAAAATTTTCACCTGCCAATCACCAAAATGTCCTCTCCACATTGCAGATATGTGAAGTGTTTTCTATGATCTCTAAAATGTCTCTGATCGAGTCAGAATGGCCCAGCAGTGAGTGAGTAGGACCCAAAACCCACATGTTGTCACTGCTCCCTGGCTTAGTTATTTTCATTGTGACTGGGACAAAGTACCCAACACCCACAACTTAATGGAGGAGTGGTTTACTTGGGTTCATGTTTCAGAGATATCACAGTCTTGCATGGTCATCCGGCTCTGGGAAGAAGGCATGACAGGAGGGTCTGGCTGCTCACCTCATGCCATCCAAGAAGCAAAGAGTGAAGAGGGGAGCCAGACACAGAGCTATACCCTTCCAGGTCATTCCCTCAGTGACCCAGCTTTTCGGGCCCCACCTACACAGAACAGCAAGTCAGCTCAAAGCACCCATAATCCCAACACATGAGGCTTTGGGGAACATTTTAGATCTAAACCATAACACTGCCCTTGATGTATTAATGGACAGTCTGGATGTCTTCCACTTAAGCTCTTAATGTTCAACTTCAGAATTTTCAGACAGATAAAGATTCATCTTCATTCCATTCTGGGTTCGTTCTTTCTTTCTTTCTTTGCTTTTCTTTTCTTTTTTCTTTTCTTTTCTTTTTCTTTCCTTCTTTTTTGTACCAGGGATCGAGCTCAAGTCCTTGCACTTGCGAGGCAGGCGGCGAAACCACTGAGCTAAATCCCTGGCCCCTGTTGTTTTTTTTGTTTTGTTTTGTTTGGTACCAGGTATCCAACTCAGAACAAGCAAGTGCAGGATAAGGGGTTCCATGGGGCTCAGTGCAAGGCCTCTGGGTTTTTCAGTCATAGCAGCAAATGACCAGACTAATCCAGCAAAGTGGTCACTTTCCCTGCTCACATCCTGTTCTTTTCCCTCTCAGTGGAAGAAAGCATCCACTGAAATTTGCCATGAAATGACGGTTTATGCATCCCATTTCTTTCTCTATTCCATTGAAGGCAACACAGGCAAATGGAGCTGAACCTCTGTCCTAGGGAATGAGGACTCTCCTGCTCCAGGATATTGAAATATCAATGTGGTTTCGGGGTCTCTTGTCATGGAGAAAAGCTTTTACCTTCAGAAATAAAACATTTTTAAAATTCATTCTTCCGATGATAAATGTTCTCTGCTCTTCCTCTTACCACACTAGGAATGGAAACATTTCAGTAAACCCTTTGGGGAAATCTGGATACTTGCAGAGGATAGATAACTTTAAAATGTCTGAGTCTGTCAGAGTAAAATATTTCAAAGGAACATTCGCTTCAACAAAAAACAAAACCTCCAATCTAGTGCATAAAAGACGTCTCTGAACTCAAAACGTTAGCACTGATTGAGTCCTATTGAACAGTGTTACTTTTTTCATGGTAATTTGGAAAGGAGTGAATTTGATTTTTTTAAAGTCACTTTAAAAGCATATCATGAATATAAAAAATGAACCTATAAGTATGTGATGTCATATAACACTTGAAAGAATAAGCTTATGTTGGTCAAAATTATATCTCATCTAATATTATTACTACACAACTTTGTATGAAAAATAAACTGAATTTAACATGCGTTAGTAGAAATATGCTTAATAGAAACACTCTCAAGTTATTTATGCAATGAAAGTGACATTCTTGCATTTAGATACATTCTTGCTACCCTTAAATATAAATGTTACAAATGATAAGAATAATTACAGGTTTAGGAAAAATGATTTCTATCTCTACCCTTGATAGGGCCAAGAAAAGCACCTGATTTTGCATGCTAGGCAAGTGCTCTACCATTGAGCTACACACCCAGCCAAAGCACATGATCTTAAAATTTTTTTTAAAAAAATAGAATTTCTCAAGCCATTAATATTATTGGCACTGCCCAATAAAGACATGGCAATATTAATGAAAGTAATTTGTAATACACTTAGCATCCCAACACCCTAACAAATCATGTTTATCTTCCCTACTCCGAAGACATTTCAATCTTAAGAACCTCATTAGCTGCCTGCCTCGCAAGTGCAAGGTCCTGAATTCAATCCCCCCCCAAAAAAAAAGAACCTCATTAGCTGAGGTGTCATGAATACAAAAGAACTTTCACTTCCAGATTTGATAAAGCTCAGTTAAAAAATAATCCCCCAAAGTATTTACAATTAAAGGAATTAACAAAATGTTTAACCAAAATTATGCATGGTTCCCCCACTTCATATTTGGAAACCTGTCCCTAACACATCTGCATTTCTCCATCAGGTCCACAAGTACAAATATCCCAGGTATGTGGTACAGGTGCACTGAAGGCATCTTAAACTGTGACCCAAATTTTAAGTGATTTTTCAGTCAATTCCATTACTAACAACAGAAGCAAAGAGCAAAATCATATCGTCTTCTACTCTATTATTTCATCAGATCCTTCACCATAATCTCACTTCATTCCTATAGCAAATGAAAAGTTGTGCTAAATGAAATCGTCATTCAAGGATGGAAATCAGATTGAGAACTTACCCAACTTGGATCTTAAGAGTGCAATTCCAGAAATTCACAAGGATTTAGAAAACAACATGGACTTGCTGGGCACATGCTCCTCCTAGTGACTGAACTGGGGAAAATAAAAAATAAGATTTTCCAATATTGCATTCATTAAATGTTTAACTACCCATAGTGTAAAGACAAGAACAACACTGGCCTCCAATAAATTTCCGTACAGATTCTCCTCCCCAGCGACCACCCTCCATTTCACATCTTGTCAGTAAAGTGCAATACATTCTGTCACATTTTTGTACTGTGTAGTACACTCTGTCCTTTCTTGGGTCTTCAGCTTGTAAAAGGCCCCTAAGGGATTTGTTCTGTTTTTTGTTTGGCAGACGACGTCTCAGAAGGCTTCTGAACATGCACAGCGTTTACAAATAACAACTCAAGCGGACCTCAACACGCTTTTACTTTAATGTCCTGTCTCAGAGAAGAGCTATTATCTACAGGCCACTGCAATCTCCTTGTCAGACTTAGCTTGTTTCACTTCATTTTAAAACCATATTTCTTGTGATTCCCAATGAAAAACAAGGAGATCAAAATGATAACTATAAGTTCTAAAAAATACACCAATATTTTTGTCAAAATAGGCAGCATATGGGGGGAGCCCTGAGGCTCCACAAAGAAACATCCACACTGTGCCTAAGCCC